TCCTATGTATTTAAAAAAGGACTTCTTGCTGTCCTTGATCCAGGCACCTTGGCCTTCCTGACTGCCCCCCTGCATCCCCAAGCGACCGCAGTGTAGTCCTCCCTGGTGATGGCTCCTCCCTTCCATTGGATGTGCGCCTCCCTTTTTGCTAGGAGACATTCCCGGATGTTTTTGATGAGCCATGGGGGCTTATGTGCCCTGCTGCTCCCTTTGATCCATGTTGGGATCATGTGTTGGTGACGGCCTGTAGTTTAGGGTACTGTCTTGTGAAGTGGGAGTTTTGGGTTGAGACCTCCTGTCCTCCCCTTTAGGCAGATCCCACATGCTAGGTGAGGATTTAAAAAATGGACCACTAGCCTCTGATATAAATGGGGTCATTTCCTTCCCTAGCTTCTTGTTGAACTAAAAGTTCTCCCATTGTATTTTGTGCTAAGTTTGAGCTAAGTGCACTCTGAGAACATCTGCCGGATTGAACCCTTCTGGTGAGATAGGCAGAGGAATGTCAAGTTTGTGAATCCCACTGGGGTACTGTGAAAGCTGAGGCATTCGAGGGCATGCTCAGAAGCAGAATTTTATGCAACTAAAGACTGAAATAGGTAGCTTCAGGTAAAAGCATAAAGTTGCTTGGTTTTATTCAAAGAGTTTAGCCCCCAAATCCGTATAGAGTTCTGCCTTGACACTTCAGAGCACAGACCACATCCATATTGTGGCCATCACAGTCTTCACTTGGCATATTCCATGCAGGTAATGGCATCCTAAAACATCTTCAGTGCTCTACAAGCCTTTTAGTAGATCACTAAGGGTATGTATAGATATTCAGGGAGATTAGGGGACAAGTTAGTTCAGGTTAAAAATGACCATGCAGTTTAAGCTAAGTTGGAATGGGAGGCTGGGAGGGGACTGGGGGGGCAAAAGGGATCTGAGGGAGGGGTTGAGGGGATCAAGGGAGCAAATGGAGTCTTTGGGAGGGTTGGGGGGCAAACAGGGTCTGCAGGGGGGTTGGTGGGGTCCAAAAGGGTTTGTCAGGAGCAGGAGGATAGCAGTGTTTGCTGCAGGACTTGGGGTGATTGGTGGGAGTTGGCAGGGTTAGGCAGGCTCTTTGATCAGGCCAACTACCTCCCCCCCAACCCCTCAGGCCCCATGTCCCTGGCCAATGCCACCAAACTGCTCACAATCCCACAAACAGCTGCCAGGGATGGTTTTACTAGCATTCATCAGTCCCGGGAGCCTGATTGTAGTAAATCAAGATGGGGGGAGGAACAGGTGGATCAGGGGGTTTGGCAGGCTGTTTTTTTAGCTGCAAACATCAATGACTATGAGGATGGTTGAGTATTGGAACAGAGTACCTAGAGAAACTGTGGAATCTCTATCCTTAGTTTTCAAGGGCAGGTTAGACAGACACTTGGTTGGGATGATTTAGTCAGGGATCATCCTTACCTTAAACAGGGGGCTGGACTAGATGACCCTGTAAGCTCTCTTCTAGCCTTTCCTATTATCTTTCTTCCTAATAAACAGAGCCTTGCATTGGCATAAGGATATGCCTACACAGCAAATTTTAGAAAGCAACTTGAATGGGAAATTGTGCAACAAAAAATCATCCACAGATGGGATTGTGTTAAGTATGGTCTAAACAGGGACTACATTCTTATCCATTACCTGGATTAGCATTTGTAACCCCAGGTACAGACATTACAAAAGTACCACGTAGTTTTCCTGGTATAAGTGATTGGAAACTGGTTTTTACCCATGACAGGACAGAAGTTCAGTACACAAAGGTCTATGCTCAAGATAGAATAGAAATCCAGCACACAGACTAATTAAAAAATGGCCTAAGATTTCTGCCTCCCCATCCTAAGGGCAAATGTGTATTCTGTTTGCTACCAATCTAAACTACATTGCTTACAGAAAACTGCATAACTTAGACTGAATCCACCTCCGACTTTTTGAATGTTTGTACCTAGCCTAAGGATTGATTGCTTATTTGCCTTTCCCAGCATTGCCTCCTTCCCCCTCCCCCCTCCCTTCCTGTCTTTTATATTCAAATTATTCTCCCCATTTTATATACTGCTTTGTGCATGTCCTTTCACAGCATCTGATGGTGCACTGAGCTCTAGCTCACAAAAGCTTATGCTATATATCTTTGATTTAGGTAGTCTATAAAATGCAAACTAACCCTGCCTTCTATACAGCTGATAACAGTATGATTGGAGTCTGAATAGATGCACGTGCTTGCTTCCAGTGCCATAGCAAGGGGGGGGGTGGTATGTGGGGTGACTGCCCCAGGCGCTGAAGCAAAGGGGCACCAACAGGTGAGTGGCTCATTTGGTGTGTGTGGGGGGGAGACACAGAGATGGGGGAAGGGCAGCTCCCATTACTGCGTGCACTGTCGGGCAAGCATGGGGGGTGTGTGCCCTCCCAGATCTGTGTGCAGGGTGAGGGTGGGCTGCCGCTGCAGGCTTTGCCTCAGCCACCAAATTTCATTGCTTCGGCACTGCTTGCTTCCATCTAGCTAGCTTGGGTAGCGATAGCAGCGAAGAAGGGTTGGCACAAACTTCAGCAAAGGTGAGAAAGCAGAATACAAACCATCCATGAACCTGGGCTGCAACTGTAGTTGTTTGGCATTGCTGAACCCTACACTACCATGTCTTCAGTTCTGTCATTACCTATGCTCACTAGGTTAAAGCAGGCAGGGTTACACTCGCCCATGGTACAACTGCAACTTCATTTTGCCATATGGACATACTCTGAATGAACCCATGCAGAAATGTGCACCAGTTTACCTCTCTTTATTTAAAAAAACAACCCAAATTAACCAATGCAACTTTCACATGTAGATGAGGCCTAAATTCCATTTTGCACCGGTGCAGACTGGCAACATCAGTGGCTTGTGTGGGGTTACAACAGTGCAAATTTGCTTAGTCTAGACAAGAAGCCCTCAGAGCTGCTGGTTGATGGTACTGCTGCATATAAACATTATTACTCATGATCACTCTATTTTCCCCAGCTCACTTACTGAGACAATCCATCAGCCAGAAGATATTCCAAAAAATGTGCATACAAATAAATGCCACTGAAACCTGCAGACACAAAAAATATGATGGAGTTAAAAATAACAATAAAACTGCTACAGAGAATAAATGACTAGAACTAGGCAATAGTCATATGTAGCAAGACTTAAAAGCCTTCAAGGCAGAGACGTTTATAGGAATTGCTTCCAAGATACACACATCAAAGAGAGCAGAACAATGGAGGTTTGTTTTATCTCAGCAGGGAGCTGCTTTATACAAGAGAAATTAAGGAGGTGCATCTGATTTTCAATACAATGGGAGATCTGGGCTATCTTAGCAGTTCACACCTCCTCAGCCCCCCCTGAGCCCAGGTGGCGCCAGGGGAGGGACAGAAACCTCTTTGGGCTTTAAAAAGGGTAGGAGCAGCCCCCCTCCCCTTCTTATTCTAAAACCTTTCTCCAGGAAAATGGTCTCATCAATCCCATTTCATCACCAGATTTCTCTGTTCTATGCATTTCTTTTCTGGTTTTGATTTTGTAGGCAATACATACTGGAAGCAGCATCAAATACTTCAGGCAAATTGTTGGAAGGGCAGATCGCTTAAAAAGAAGTCACCACACACATTCCACTCTGGGACCCACAGCTGAGAAGTAATCAGGATTGTCTCCTACATGTGTAAGTATGGAGAGTCTAAGATACTCTTTTGTTTCTAGATGCAATGAAGCAACTGAACCTCTGCTTGCCCTTAGCTGAAGGGCAGTGTCAAAACTTCATTTTCTTTTTGATTAACCCTCAGATCAAGTAATTTAAAGGAAAGGGAAGTGCTTCTGCCGAGTGACACTAATTTCAGTCTGATTCATTTTACAGTGTTGTAAAAACAATTATGTGCCTGGCACCCTCCAGAACATTAAACACTGTTCAATAACCATCAGATGTAGTGAGATGAAACTGATACAGCTTGTTAGAGCATAAACTTATTGAAAATGTGCTTTGTAGCCAGACAAGTTGATGGTGCCTTATTTTTTTATTTTTTTTGTGTAATGTACGCTTAGCCAATTCTCCCCAAGTTAAATAAAAAGGTATAGTTATTATAGATGTTTAAGGTCAAGTTTTCCTTTTCATTAAAGAGAGTCATTCTGATACAGGCATTTAAATGAAGTTGCTAGATTTTCAAAGGTACTTGGAGATTACAGGGGCACATTTCAGAGACTATGGTAGGGCCAAACTTTCATATGAGTGCCAGGACAGATTCTGAAGTACTTGGTAATTCCAGGAGCCAGATCATCAGAGGGGTTAGCTTCCATTTAGATTTAATTTTTCCCATGTTTTACTTCTATCATGGCCTTTTCTCCCCGGTAGAACTGGGCACCCACTCTACTGCCAATGTGCTGAACTCTTGACATTTGGGTTCTTTGAAAATATTAGGTGCTGTTTGCTGGGCACTTTTATACCAAGAGGACAGATTTTTAGATGCCTAAATGGGAGTGCTGATTCAAGTCACTCTTGTGTGTTTCCTCAGTGTCTCTCTGATGTATCTCTTCAGCAACCCAGGATAACAGTGACCCAGGGAGTGATGTCAAACTGGGGAAGAAGAGTTTGGTCCAGAAGCTGCCTCTTTCAACTGCAGTGGGTGACCATATTCGCCGACATAGGACCACTTTTAGCCAGAAGCAACTGGCTATTCTAGAGCAGCAGTACTCCAAAGAAAGCTACTTATCCAGGGCCAGGAGGTATGAATTGGCCAGTACTCTGAATCTACCTGAAAGCACCATCAAGGTAAACTATCATTTTGGAGACTAGTAAGACTAAGACCCCAGAATGTAAAGGCCATAGGCTCCCCTGCTTTGCCCATGAAACACTATAAACTGAAGTGACATCCTTGCTTATTAAATTCCATGACAAACATTTTGGAGTAGGATATAAACCAAGTCAGGAGTTGACCCAAGTAGGTACCTAATACTGAAGAAATCTGGGTTCTGTTCTGCACTCTGTGACTGTGCAACGCTGAGTCTCAGCTTTGCCAGCCACAATTTTATTGCTAGTCCACCTCTGTACCTCACTTTCCCCATCTGAAAACAAAATCCACATCAACCCTCCCCTCTACCTTCTGCTTTGGTAGAGTTGCAAGGCCTGAGCTACTAATGTTTATATGGTGCTTTGATGGCAGGTGCTATGGAAGTACACAGAATTATTGTTTCTTTACACAGGTGTGGTTCCAGAACCGACGGATGAAAGATAAAAGGAAGAGATACTGTCTGCCTTGGCTTCCTCCTCTAGACCCTATCTTACACAGGTCCATGAGCCAGACCTCCTGTATATCTTACCCTCTACTGTCTCAGCTCTCTACTTCTAAGTACTTAGGCACCTTTCTAACATTTCTGAGGCCTATGGATAACCTATCATTTCTCCCTCCATCTTTCCTGATACCAAATTTCCTTCCCACTCTCCAATATCCCTCTCTCTATCAGTCCTCAGGAGTTTGCCCCACACCCTGTTATTGTACTGAGAGTAAAGATCTTGGAAAAAAACAAGACAGCAACTCAGCCCTTTATGGATCCAAATGAATCTCAACTCTAACTTGCTGTCCTTAAAATAGGGTTAGAGGCTTCCTGTAGAAGTGGTTTCCACACACTGATATTTTATTAGAACTGTTTTAAACAGGAGCTAGAACAGACTCAGGACAGCAAAATGACTTTGAATTAGTCAGCAACCATCTGTATTAAAAATATGAAAGGTTTTAGGTATATTCTGTAGTGGAATGTTTTTCCTTGAAACTCAGACACATTTGTCTCACAACAAGGCTAAACAGAGGTAACACCAACTGATTTAAAATCAGATTGATGGCATAGACCAAATTCATCCTTGATGCAACATTGCTGAGGTCAGTGAAATTATAGCACCACAGACAAATTCAGCTCTATCAGATTTAACTCTAACATAAAACTAGGTAATGTAAAAAAATAAATAAAAGATCAAACCAAAAAGTGGTGATGGGGCATTTATTTCTCATGTGCTTCAAACTGTGTAATTAAGTGGGACAGAACTGATACTGGCAGAGAAAAGATCTCCAACAATATAACAGGAATTAAGTCCAATAAAGAAAGCTATGAATGACAAGGGAGGTTTTTAAAGTTTCAAATTGGAGTTAGGAGTTGAATTCCTATTGGCATTTTTTTAAAACTTTTTTTTAAAAGGTGTGTTGTTTGCTATAGTGAATCAACACAGCATAGGTAGTGCAATATTCAGAAGGCTGAAGTGATCTGCTACAATAAGGGGCCAGTTAACTTTGTAGATGAAACATGGACAATGTAATCTTTCTTTTTTGCATTAAATAAGCTACAGGTTAATTCGAAAAACATGGAAGTTTCATTCCTTTGTGATCAACTTTTATGTTAGTGATGAATGCAATTCATTTATTTGTGAGAGTGTAAGAGGGTTTAGTGGTAAAGGTTTCAGACTAAGAGATCCTTTAGGAAGACAGCTTCTTTACGTCAGCTGCTGAAGAGCATTCTCTATTGAAAAACTATCTCATACTTGACTCAGAGGTTTTGCCTGTGTGCACATCAAGAGACACTAAGAGCAAAGCCTTAAGGACATGAGAAGGTATGTACGAGTCCTAGGTGGTTCAGCCTGGCATGCTGCTGAGCTTTCTGTCCCCAATCCTGCAGATGCACTTCAGATCATATATATATTTAAGAGTATACTTACTTAAGTGGGTGTTTTGCTGGATTAAAACCAGGGCCTGAAAATCTGCTGGAGTATACCCTTATCCCAAATCTGCTGGAGTATACCCTTATCCCAAATCTTTAATGCTCTGAAAACTATTTCCCTCCTTAACACTTGTTCTTTTATCAGACACTTATCTTGCAGAAGGCTTACAAAAATGATATGAGGATAATTCAAGCGATGGGGAAGAGGAGAGCTGCTCTTTTCAATAGGAGCAGAATTGAAGGCAGGCAGGCATGATTAGGCCGACCAGTTATTAAATGGACCAGAGAGGCCTGAATAAGACTACTAATCTTGGTTCTAAAGACCGAATAAGAGGTGGTGCTTCATATATCCACTGAAACAGCAGATGAAGAAAACAGATATACAGTAAGCCATCTTTTAACTATTATAGATGGAAGACAAAGGGCTTAAAGCAGTATTCATGGAGCAGGTGCTAATTACAAGCATTCTCTGTTTGCCATGCAGCTGCAGACTTTCCTTTTAAAATAAAAATGCTTAATTTTATACTATATGTGTGTGTGTAATGCTGTGCATTCACAAAATGCATCTCTATTATTTCAACTTATGAAGTTTTCCTTCAGTCTCCACTAATTAGTCAACAGAAGGACTAGTGTATTTTATAACTACGATCATTCCCTGTATTTATTTTATCTACGTGATGGCAATGAATATCTTTGATAGGATGTTTCAAGTGTATTTTAATCTCTGATCATTTAAAGAAAGTATTTGCAAAATGTAATTATTACTTGGTTTCAGAGTTACTTATCAGAGTATTCTGACTGTACTCAAAACATGATGACATCCAATTTATCAAGCTGTGGTTAAAAATGTGCCATCTTCATCTCTAAAACACCCCTACTGAAAGCCTGCAGATAAAGATATTTATCCTATTGATGATTATGATGATGACCACTGCTGGTTGAGTATCTGAGAGAAATTCACACAATTGATTTGCTGACTAATGGGGGAAATTGCCCCAGTCAATCAAATAGTATTCAATCAGCTTTCTAAAATGATTTGATAGACCAAATTATGTCCTAATAGTGTAAAGGTTAAGCTTTTGTAAACAAACAAAAAAAGATCCCCAACATGAAAACAAACAAAAAATCTCCCTCACTTTATTTGCAAATGAGAGAATCACCTTAATTAATAACAAATGTTACCAAAAACTCATAACATTCGCACTGGACTGCAGTTCTATTATTGTTAGCAGAGAAAATTTGTAGTCTCTAGATCAGAGCCTTGCAAAGAAATGGGATTTCTAGAAACCTTATTTATAAAAAAACATTTATTTGTACATTTCAAGCCGATATATAGCCTCTAAATGACATGCAATCTTCAACAGGTTTTTAAATTTTTTTTCAAAAGTCCCTTTAACATGAAATTAGATATTATTCTGCCCCACCTGGCGCAACACATTCTTAGAAGTTCACAAAAATTTGAGCCATTCCCAGAGGAAACGGCCCCCATATGTATCATTGGTGCCTCTGAGGAAGAGATTGCTTTGAAGTGATGCTGCCTCAGCAACAGCCCAACCAACCCTTACCACAGAAAAATGGTTTGCAAGTCCAAAGAAACTGGCTGTTGCAAAGGTCATAGTCCACAAGGCCCTTCCTACAGTATCTTTTTTTTACAAGCATCTCAACCTGGATCACACCTTGAATGTGTGTGAATGGACAGTGGCAGCTGGGGGATTAGAAATTAAAATAATTTGTCCTCCTTTGAGCCATCTCTGCACATTCCCAAGTGTAAGACCAGTAACCTTTAGAAAGATTAAAAGAGAATGAAATGATTTCTTTTGGAGCAGTCCAGGTATGTCAACACATTCATTAATACACCTTAACTATGGCACATTAAGTTTAGTATTTGGATAACTAAGTACTAAATCAATGTAGCACTGGTGCATGGGTTTTTACAGATGCTAACTGCACAGTAGCCTAATACAATGCAATAGTGTATTTGCACAGGTTTTGCCTGGCACACTACTATGCTGTGTTATTAGGCTGCTGCACAGTTAGTGTCTTGTGTAGACACCTTCTACCTACTACTGTTAAAGATCCCAGACCATAAAGAAAACAGCAGTATAAAACAGCCTCTTATAACACCCAACATTATAAGTCCATACTTATTAATAAGAAAATTAGCTACTAAAACAAAACGCACTACTTTGTCATACTAACTGAAATTCCAAGAGGTGACATGACTAAATCAAGTAACCAACCACACAATCTTGTTGCTAAAATTACTGAGCTTCCTCACCTCCTCTTAATGATGCCCAGTTGTTCTGTCACGTCTAAAAGGAGACTGTATATTCTTCAAGCCAGGACCCTTGCCTTCCTACCTGCATCATAAAGCACTTTGCACATCTCCAAACACTGCACAATAATAAATAGGCGTTACCATCTTGATCTCGCTTCCTCAAGCTAGTTTTCTGTCTATCCTGGAGAATCATCTTTCTTTTATTTATATTTCTATTCTTATTGATCTCAGAACATCTTTAACAGAGATGTGTGTTCCTTATCAGCAGTACTTCCATTTCCTATCCTGTTCCTACCCACATTTTTAGGTCCACTCAGCCATCCATTCACTCTGCATTGCAGCTTTCAGCATTATTATCAATATAGCCATTGTTGTTAACTTTATTTTAATATATATATTTTGTTAAAGCATCAAAAAACAAATCTACATGTTCACAAATTAAGCCCGACACAGAAATAGCTTTTTTCCATGAGGTATCTTCCCTCAGATACTTTAGGTATCATTGCCACTAATCAGGTGGAAACTGGGCCCACTCTCAATTGTGAGAGTGGCTGAACATTTTCTAACGTAAGTACACAATGCGTGGCTCCCAACAGAGAAGTATAAAATATAAGCACTTCAAAATCCAGAGATGTGGAGCATCACATTAGGATAATTTTGTTTCAGCCTTCCTTTGCTTCTGGCCCTTCTACACTCGTAACTTCCTACCCTTTGTATCACTGTTAAACTCTTGTTAAGACCCATGGCTATATGTTCATTCTACATCAGCTAAAATGAACTTGTCATATACATGGTGGGGTTTAGATTTCCAAAATGCAATACAAAGATTCATCTGTGTAGTTCAATCTGATATTAAAAAGTGTAGTACAACTGAAATACAGTGCAGGTCTCTCTCGATGGATGACATTCAGCCAACTAAATCAGACACCACACTGTCATTCTTATAAACTGAACAAAATAAGAGTTGGTTGTAATCAGGCACAGCCATACAGATATACATCAGGGGCCAGGGAAAAAAGTTTCATGTCTGAACATCTATGAACTCCTGACTTTTTTTTTTTTTTTTTAAGGCAACTATCATTGCTCACCCACTGATTGATAATTTTGTGCTATAGAAGCTGTTTACTGGAAGCAATCACCAACGAGTATATTTAAAAAGAAGCAACAAAATGGTTCTGTCAGTTCATGATGAATAGCTCTGTCCATAGGAAGGAGCACCTTTCAGGTTTTAGAAGGCAAGCAGTGATGCATGGAAGAGTTCTGCTCAAACCCTGTAAGGAAAGAAATGCAAGAATAAGCGGACTGATGATATGGCAGTACAGCATCCTGCAGAATATTGTAGAGCTATCTAATCTTGCTTTAAATGAGCTAGATTCAAGTACTGGAAGCAATCTGGATCTATGGAGTTCTATGTGGGTTAAATACCTCTTGCCAAGAAGCTTGTTTAAAGCTAGTTCAAGTTTGTTTACATCAAACTGCAGGCTGAAGTACAGATATATCCTTGATAGGTGGACAAAGATAAATTCATCTAAAAATGTTTTGCACAGATACTCCTATAGTAAATATGATGGATGAAGTGAACGCAGCATGAGCAGCCAGCAGCCTCATTGTCAGTATTCTCCTTTCTGACTGGCTATAGCTCATACCAAGTAAATAAATCATCTGAGTCAGGTATCACACACAGAATAATACAAAATTACCTGCCCAACAGAAGGGACAACTCTATATTCCATTCCAGCCCTGCTGCAGCTCTCCAGTAATGTAAATGATCTAAAAACAGCTTGATATGAATGGGAGAATCCCCGTGTAGGGTTTGTCTAAAGAGGACCTCCTAACAGCCTTCTGTGGGAAGTAAAAGAGCTTAGTACACACTGCTGTAGGTATTCTGTTGTGCTCTCTAGACTGTAGGCTGCTCTGGCAGGTAGTACACTCCCCAGCAGAATCCAGAACAGGGGTGTTCAAGCTGCAACATGCATGCCACAAGTGGCACATGCAGCCTGTGTGTGTGGCATGTAGCAGGTCAAGGAGGGGACAAACACAGCTGCAGCTAGGGCAGCGAGAAGAAAGCAAAGCAACAGATCAGGTAGGGAGCACAGGGTAGGAAGCAGAAAGCCAAGCGCAGATCAGGCAGAGGAAAGGAATTGAAGTGGCACTTGGAGAGGGTGCAGGGCTAATATGTGGCACGCCCACCAAAAAGGTTGGACCCCACTGATATACAATAACACCCCCTTCCTTGCTGTAGGCTTTACCTTTTGTGTGGTTCCACCCAATTCCAGATCATAGCGTGATTTTACTGCTATTCCAAAAGCAGACCTGTATCATAAAGTGCTGACTGCCAATCACGATATGAATATGTTATACCTGTTTCTTTCCAAAGGAGCCCAGAGCAATGCATACAGAGCAACTGGTCACCAAACAATGAAATGCTGCAAGCATTACACAGTAGCTAAAATTTGCAATATTGTTGAGGCAAGAGAAGTGAAAAATAATGTATCCAGCTGAAACTATGGCAGGAATCTAGGAAGCCAGAATGTAGTGACTCAACATGGAAATGGACATGGATGCTGAAGCTAACACCCTATAGTGCTGCAAAAAGTGCCATGGCATTTTAAACAAGACCATGTGTTATAGGTTTTGGTGTTACAAATCAGCAACAGGTGATGGCTAAAACTTTCTGGCTGCCTAAAAGCCCATTTTTAAAGATATATAGTTTTCTAAAAATGAATAAAGGACATGGTAAGAATCTTAAAAGGGCCTAGACACCTAAATCTGAGATCATTTCTCTCTCTCTCCGTGTCCATCTGTATCTTGGATCCATAAGACATGGATACAGTGCTGACAGAGAAAAAACTATGACCTACTGGGCACGTCAACATGTTCATTAATGCACAATAGTTACTGCACTTTTAATTTAGTACTTGCTTAATTAAGTATTAACTAAATGCACAGTGACTACAGTTACCGTGCAGTAGCACTGATGCACGGTTTTTTAATGATGCTTATTGCTCAGTAGCCTAATACTACCACACAGGAGTGTATTAGCATGCTTTTTGCCCAGCATGCTACTGCGCAGTGTTATTAGGCTACTGTGCATTATGCGTCTCATGTAGAAGTGCCCACTGAGTCACTAACACCATTTCCTGCAATAACTTGATCTCATGTCCTAAAAATGTCCAAGAACACTGAAAGCTAATTTTTCAATGGTTGTAATCTACAGGATGTCCCTGGACGGAGACCAGAGTGTTCTTCCTTTCTACAGTAAGGAATCACAGCAATTAGAACCATTACCTGCCCATTGCAGTATCCCCTGACATTACATTATTGCTTTTTGCAGGTCGTTGGTCCATTTGAGCAGGGCTGGAAATAACCAACAGGTCCTGAAAACTAAAGCGGTGATGGTTTGGTTTTTGGAATGCTGTCTGAACATTCTGATATTTTGTTTGCTTCTTGCCTGCAGAGATTCTGCTGCTCAGCGGGGTTCTCCTAAAGAGCATCGCACTTTCTGTGTAAACAAAACTCTGATTTATATTTTGAACTCGATGGGTATCCCCAGCTTCTCTTCCTACAGTCCATGGCTGGGTTCTTGAAGCTCAGATACAAAGGAAGAATAGACTGGAGAAGCAAATGCAGAATACCTGCTCTACTACATTTTTAAACTAAGATGGAGCTGAGGATAATACTAGAACTTCCTCTTGTGATCTAATAATCAGAATCAGAGAAAGGACTTAGTAAGTCCATCTGGCTCCTGCTCCAAGGCAAGATCAACTATACTCATCCTAATCAAAATTACATCTAAACATAAGGGCTGTGTGACATTTCGTCAGCCATTTCGTTTCAGAGGTGCTTCAGACTGTTTTGGCACCCAAAACACCGAATCCAGATCAAAACGGAAGGTTAAAAAACATCTCCAAAATGAAATGAGAGATCCAAAACTTTTCAGAAAATTTTGGAGTTTCAGAGCTGGGCTTGCAGGGAAACAGCTGTATGCTGCTGCCCTGCTGTGTGACTCGGCTCCACAGGGAGCAGAGATCTGCACCGGGGGTCTCCTTGCCACTGCTGCCCGCCTTGGCAACGTGAGGCTGCATGGGGCAGGCAGTGGCCACGAGGAGACCCAGGCATGGATCTCTGCTCCCTGTGGAGCCACGTCATGGCAGTGCTGGTCCCTGCCACATGACCTGGTTCTGCAGGGAGCAGGGATCTGGGGTTGCATGGGGTGGGGAGCAGCAGTGAGGAGACCCTGGCATGGTTCTCTGCTCCCTGCAGAGCCAAGTTGTGCAACAGGGACCAGCAGGCTTGCTCGCCACTGCACTGCTTTCCTACCCCACAACCCAGCATGACAGGGATCAGAGATCCATGGTGGGGGGTCTCCTTGCCTGCATGGAGGACAGTGGCCCTCCCACTCCCTTGGACGAGCCACCCATGGCCCTGTCCTGCTCCCTGCTAGGGTCCTAAAGCCCCCAGCCCCATGCCCCACCCAGCTGGGTAGGGCTGTGCGAAGCTTGCAGCCTGTCCAGAACAGATTTGGGAGATTTGGCCAAAAAGAAACAGGACAGTGATCTGAAACACCAAAACGAATCACTGTCCCCTGAAACAGTCGAATCCGAAACTGAATTGAAACACAGCTGTTTTGCATAGCCCTAACATAATCATATGTTTTTTTGAATATACTATGGGATTATAGTTCTATTTCCATAGAGATGCACCAGGACAGTAACCTAGATTTTAAGATGCAAACATATTCTGTGAAAATAGCACTCACGTGTTCTATTGGTGAGATAAGTGTGGTGATGCTGGTGCATAGGGAGTATTACAGCCTTCTCTCCTGGTATGAAATAGAGTTTGCTGAAGAATTTTGACATTAGGACAGGAGTCTTTTCCAGTTCAGTCCGTAAGGGATTTCCTTGAGCTCTGTGGCCTTCTGAATGTGAGACTAAGTTCTCCCTGAGACGAGGCTGGTGATCTCTCTCAGATCCAAATGGCATCAGATTCTGAATGGCTGCACCACCATGATAAACTACATCAGTTGCTGTTGTGACTGCAGCTCGAAGTTGTGTCACCATTGCAGAAGGTTTTGAAGAATGACCAGATTTATTTGATAATGTGGAAAAATCTGCTGGTGTTTTGAGCTGGGGGGTGGAAGATTAGAAAATCAAACTGATATGGGGCAGGGCACAGATTGAGCATGGTAGTTCACAGGATCAGCACATTTCTGTGGAATTTGTACACTGATCATTATTTTAGAAATTAAAGTCTTGATTCTCTCTCATGCTAAGGCCCCTTGATATCACTCTAGTGGAGTAAAGTGATTGTAAAGGCTGCCAAAACATGAGTTAGAATGGACATAAGTTAGAATTATAGACAGCCCTACATACTATGGACCTACCAGTATTCTGTTACTTACCATTAATCTGATGTTCAGATCTGTTGCAGAATGATGATTATGCTCTGTATGGTCTCTCAGGTCTGGTTTGGAGCCATACTGGTCCTGCATACTACTAGAGTTCTTCTTTATCAAGTCTGGTGCAGAACTATAGTGTCTCACATTTTGCTTTTCATGTGCAGGTGGATCCAGGCTGGACCCACAGTGTTCTTTTTGTGGGATGCTTGATTCCCCGCCAACTATCTGCATCTTTGGTGCTTTTTCACGCAAGGCTCTCTGAAGCAGGAGGAGAGTGCTGTGTCTTTGTTCTGAGTCAAGACCATGCTGAGCACAGGAAAAAAATAAATCCAACATGAATAACGAGTAGTGAAGTTGCCCCAAGGTGACATTGGACCAGTTTTCCTGATACAAGCAACACAAGGAAGCCAGATTCTGGTTGGGAATGACAAGTAAATAATTGCCCTTATGGAGGAGAACTCTACTGGTGCAGGCCTAATGGAAGCTGATCCAGTGACAGATAACCTCACTGCCTGTTCTGGTACAGCAAACATGCTGTAGGAGGAATAATGCATATTGGGTGTTTGGCTCAGGAGAGCAGAGCTCCACTACAATAATCCTCCACTGTCCTAAAAGTTAGAGAAAGCCCAAGCTGCACTAAGTAATGCTGTAACCGACTGTCTTGTACTAAGCAGACTTGGCCATAAGGGAAAACCAAGCAGCAATCATCTTGTTTTTAGCAGTGTTTTAATATATGTTTGTTGTGTCCAAATACAGGTAACAAAACTGATATGGTAGCAGCCTGGAGATACATTTGACTCCAGGTAATGACTGTAAATTAACAGATCAAGGTCCTCACTGGCTTGCAGAGAGAACAATTACATTTTGTGAGCAAATGTTGTCAGCGGTGTCTTTTTGTGCAGAATGTGCCTACTACCAAAGATGTAATGATGTGTCTGGGTGCCTGGGGCAGCTGCCACACACAGAAGCAGTGATTTCTGATTGACTCTGTGCCACTGGTGTGATTGTGTGGCTATGGTGCCAGCAGTTTTTTTTCCATCTCTTCCTCAAGACCCCAAGTCAGTGACCAGGCTGGTTGCCATGCCCTGGTTATGCCACTGCCTATCATTGTATTTTAGCTCATTTATTTTCTGGTGGATGTTCTAGGCTTGTAGGCTTCTATTTCCTGCCCCCACACACTGATAGCAGCATTATTAATGAAAACTCAGTTGATTCTTCTTCCTAAAGCATACCTTCCTTAAGCCATGTGCAGTAGCTGCTCTAGATATGAGCTTCTTTCTGTAAGGCTTTATTTTCTCACCCGTAGACTCTCCCTGCAGCTCAACCTTCTTCTCTCTTAACTGTAAAGTTTTCTGCTCCTGCTTCATTCGCAGCTCCTGTAGCTGCTGCCTGTAGGCCAAGTTGCAAATGAGGTTCAAAAATGGTTCTAATAGTATATGGTGTCATCTACAAGTCCCATCTGGCCTTGTCCACTAATTCTGGTTTGGAACAAAACTGGCCAGATCTAAATGCAAAGCAGTTCCATGTGTTTGAGCTCAGGGCTGGATTCAGGAACTTGAATTCTAATCCCATTTTTTGTCATGGACTCATGAGCAAGTCACTCAGTTTCCATGGCTACATCCAGACAAGCATGGCTGTGTCATACATGGCACCACAGACACATCTGCAATGCCACATACTGCATGTTCAGTTGTTTTCCATGCTGTAAGGGAGCAGTGCAGGCTTTTGTTTTTTGGTGCCTGGATATCCAGGGATCAAAAAATCCTTGCAGAAAAAAAAGCAGAATAGCGCACATGGAGGCAGTGTGCACTGCTCAAAACTAGAACCTAGCTGGCCAAAGCCACAGTGCAGCTGCTGGTCAGGCTTTGCATGGTAGGATCACTGCTGCTGCAGCCCTGGGACGCTCCCAGAGCCCCAGGTAAGGCTGCTGCAGCCAGCTCAGTGCTGGTCCCAGCCTCTCCTACTCCAGCCGGGGTAACTTGCTGTGTGCCAGAGGGCACATGGCACAGGCATTCCCCAGGGACAATTAGCGGTGGCACAAAGTGTGCCGCTGATAGTTGTCCCCAGGGAACCAAATGTCCATGAACGTGTGGATGTGACCCATATGTCCATTTCACCACCTGTAAAATTAAGATTGATAACATACACTCACCTATCTGGCAGGGATATCATGAAGTACAGTCACATAACAAAGTATGATGTGATGGATTTTATTATTACTGAACATTAATTCAGTATGCACAACCTACCCCAGTTAAACAAATTGAAGCTGGAAAATCTCCTTACCTGGAATGTTCTTCTCGTGCCCTGGAAGCAGCAGTTTCTTGAAAGAATGAATTGTTGTGCTGGAAAAATTTATCATATTTGTCTGAATCAGGTTTGGGATAAATTCTGCGAAAACCACCTTTGTTTTTCTCCTCATAGTTCTCAGCTTGTTTCAGCCAAGCAGTCTGGCAGTTCTTGTATTCCTTAGCTCTGATAAAAACACAGGGGCACTATTAACGAGTCCTGTGGGCCCCCAAGAAACTTCTATAGCAGGAATTTTTTTGCATGTCATTTCTTTTTTTGCATTCCTAATCCTGTCTGCTTATTACTAGTGAAATGGAGGAAGGCTGTCTTTTATTTTCCTGCTTAACATAGAACAAGTTCTGCAAAGGAAAAGCATTAAACTTGTGTTCTTTCTGACTTCCATTTGATTAAAAAAAAAAAAAGGTCCAACATTTTGCATTTATTTAACTTGTTTTTACAGAAGCAATTCAGCTTGTTTCAACTGGAAGGACAGGGAGAACTAGTAAAATGATAACATCACAGGAATCAAAAAAAGTTAAAGCTGGTCTATTAAGAGCAGAAGGAATTTTTAGTCCGAGAAATTCACTCTTTCCATAAAGCTGAAATGTGCTTACAATAAAGTTCCTTTCTATATGACTGTTGCTTTCCAGTAAAGCCAGAAAAGGCCAGACTTTACTTTTTTGCTGTTTCTAAGGGGAATCCCCACCCCCTAGTAAAAAGTCTATTCAGACTATCCTTATCATACAAATTTACAAATCATATAATTATATGTACGTACACACACACACACACACATATATATATATGATTTGTGGCTTTTATTATTTATAAAGAATATATATATAATGTTTAGAAATTATGCTTATTTAATGTATAAAGAATACACACACACACACACACACACACACACACACACA